TTTATTGTATTCTATCCGTTTCTATCGATTCTTTTAAGCAGGGTGACCAATCACAGTTGAGAACGTAGCGGCCGCCGTTTTTAGATGGCAGCTCCGTCATAATCTCTAGCGTACAGACCGAAGGTTTACCGCAGGAAGTAAGATATCTTCCTTCATGGTTTACCGTTATGATCTAACCCGCTGATCACTGCTGATCGGCGCCGCCGAGTTATCGTTGTTATCAATACTCAAGAATTATCGAATTTCGTATACGCGATTGTTTACGTCGCTCGGAATGGCATAATACATTCATCGTCCGAGGAAGACGGCCGTCGCCGTGTTCGAGAATCCCATCGATCGGTCAGAATGGTTCGATGTTAACCGTTAAGTAAACCTGAGAGAGGACCATATATCAACATCAACATCGTTTCCTTTATCAAACATGTGAGCTTCTTTTGGATGCACATTGCGATATCACGCAGCATACACGGAAAGATATCTGCATATATATATATATATATAAATAAATATATGTACATATATATGTATGTATATATAGATGACTGTAAATAATGGTGTTTTTGGCCGTCATTTATTCACTGGTGATATTCCTGCGTTTCGATTCCCTACAAGCAAGTACGTATTATACCCATATTGCTTTAATAATTGTAACAATTTGTGTTTGCAAGCTTATTTGATATTCCTTAATTTTTTGTCAGACCATTTTCTATCAGACCCGGAGTCGCAAGGTTATTGTGCTCCATACAGTGGCAAAATATGCAAGAAATATCTTAGTGGAATTGGAAAGGTATGGTTTAATGATTCCAATGACAATCCTGGAGGATGGCTGAATGAGAAGATCACAGCAGACCTCTGGGTGGAGTTGATAGAGACCCTTCTAGAGCCATGTCGTTCAGCAGCAGAGGTATAATGCTCCAAAGTTTTAAAAAAAGCTTTAAAATAAGCATAATTTTATCAGTGTTAGAGTTTAGGAAGCCTAAACTGAATAACTACTTACCAAGTATCTTTAAAATAAGTCTTAAAAAGATTCAAGATAGTCTTGAGAAAGATTGAAGATAGTTTTCAGATAACTTTGAGAAAGCAAGTTGAAATTGATTAGGAAAGTAATTTTTATCATTAATAATAAATTGCATTTGTTTTACTAAGTAAATAACAAGAGTAAAGAAAGTCTGCAAAAGTTAATTCCGTTGTTCCTTGATGGGTATAACATTTTTGAAATTAATCTCTTATTGTAATTAGATTTTACCTTATCATAATAGATTATTTTTATTCTTTTGTTTTTTTATACAGAAAATGCTTTGCATGTATGCGTTTCCATTGTGCCACGAATCCACTGGCCTGCCTCTCTGCTACGAAGACTGCATGGCCGTACGGCAGCAGTTCTGCTTCAACGACTGGGCGATGATCGAAGACAACAAGCAGAGAGACATTTACATTCGTTCACGTGGGCACTTTGTGTTACCAGATTGCAAGAATTTGCCCAAAGTGGACAAGGAAACGCCTACCTGTTCGCATGTGCACTTAACCGACATGAACGAGGAAGTCGTCACTTGTGAGTTATCGCGTTTAAATAACACTAAAGACATAATTGAATTATAAAGTGTTAATTGAGAAACGCTGATCGACTTTTCCAGACGATTGCATCAGAGATAACGGTAGATTCTACATGGGGATGGTAAACAAGACTAAATATGGCCTGGACTGCCAGTCATGGAGCGCACAGATACCACACAGTCATGATAAACCGCCTGACGTCTTCCCGCAGATACGCTACGGTGAAAATTACTGTAGAAACGCGGGCGGCGATGAGCCGTTGCCGTGGTGCTTCACAACCGATTCCTCAACACGTTGGCAGTATTGCGATATTCCTGTATGTGGTGGGTACAATCGGAACATACTAAGAATTCTTGATTAATATATGTACAACTTGTATTAATAATTTTAACGTTAATATAATTGAAATATTTATATCAAATTTCTTCGTTCACCTGCATCACTTTTAATGAAATGTATTTTGTTACAAACATCTTGAATTAGAATACGTTTTCAACACGTAATAATTAATTTCATATAATAATGTTTTGATATTTTCATTTAGATAATGTTACAACTAAAATGGAGATTGAACCAAAAGATATAATGATGGACACCCTATTCAATAACACACTAGTACTCATATTGTCAGTGTTGGGTTTTGTAATTGTAGCTGGAGCTCTATTGTCTATCTTGCTGAGTCAAAAAATACACAAACGCCACCGAGGCTATAATCCGACCGATAATCAAGTATTGTTCTCATCAAATATTATAACTATAAGGAAATAGAAAGAAATAATGTTAACTTAATCATTTCTTCTGAAATTATATGTATATGTTATTGTAATTTAAATAATAATCCAATCTATATAAATTTATTGGATATAAAAATATATATATATATATATATGTATAAGATTTGCTTATATTATTTTTATATTCAATACATTTAATTGGATGATTATATTTAAATTACAATAAAATATTGTTTGCAATATTAATATGTTGATAATTTAATTTAAAGTATTTATCGTTTTATGTACTTTCAAGTAAAAATGAAAAAATAACTTTATAAAATAATCAAGAAGAAATTCTCAGAAACAATTTGATATAAGTTCATTAAGATTCCTATGTACAATAATTTTTTAAAAATTGTATATATAAAATTAATTGTTTTAACATTTTAAAGTTATTTTATCAAATATATCTTAGTATGCTTTATTTATATTTACGCTTAAATTATCTTGTAACAGTTATTCTACTATTTCAACGGTTTTACAATTTTCAAATCTACTTGCTCTTCGTAGGACGTGAACATCGATTTGGACAAGCTGCCAAACAACGAGGCATATCACAAGACGAGTGCGCAGTTAAATCCTAAATTAGAGAAACTGGAGTTCCCGCGGAATAATATCATCTACGTGCGGGATCTGGGTCAGGGCGCCTTTGGTCGTGTGTTCCAGGCGAAGGCACCGGGGCTGGTCCCAGACGAGGAGTTCACAAATGTCGCTGTAAAGATGTTAAAGGAGGAAGCGTCAGACGACCTGCTGCGGGATTTCGAGCGAGAGGCATGTCTCCTTGCCGAGTTCGATCATCCGAACATCGTGAAGTTGCTGGGTGTTTGCGCGCTTGGACGGCCAATGTGCCTGTTGTTCGAGTACATGGGTCGTGGCGATCTGAACGAGTTCTTGCGCTTTTGCTCACCCAGCAATTACGTTATCCGTGTCCTTTGCATGGACGACGGCCCGACAGCGGGCGAGCCCTCGCAACTGTCGCACATGGATTTGATCAACATCGCACTACAAGTGGCATCCGGTATGGTTTATCTGTCCGACCGGAAGTTTGTTCATCGCGACCTGGCGACGCGCAACTGCCTAATAAATGATCAGATGATCGTTAAGATCGCTGACTTCGGGTTGTCGCAAAAAATATACCTGCAGGATTATTACAAAGGTTTTTTCCTCACTTTTATTGTTTGGAGTGTATTTACGGTACTTGTAGCAAAGAACAATACAGTGTTTCAAAAATTATTCAATAGTTGTGTGTGTGCTTCCAATCTGAAAGTATAGTCTTATATAAATTCCTTTACACTCAAAATTTGTAATCATTATTATTTTTGTCTTTTCGTAAAATATATTAAACATGAGTAAAATACCAATATGAGCAACAATATGTAGAATTTACACTTAACTTTTTCACTGAGGAGATTCAAAGTTAAAACGTTTGCAATTAACTTGTCGTACCGACAAATGTACCATTTTAATTGTTTGTGAATTGTATCTTATAAATATGTACTATCAAATTATATTACAAAGGCTTGAACTTTCATAAGAAATAATTTAGAAATGATAGTCTTGATGAGCCAACGCATATAAAAATGCGTAAAGTAATTTATTATAAATATGTTATTTATTAACAACTTCAAAGATTCTTATTGGCATTTTACTTACGTTTGATTTATTCTTGGAGTCACACAAAACTATTTTCATATTAATTTAATGTAGTATTTTTTTATGAAAAGTCATCATCTATTATCTTGATTATTACGTTACTTACAATTCTTAATAATACAGGAGATGAACAGGACGCCATCCCCGTCAGATGGATGCCACTGGAGAGTATATTGTACAACAAATACACCGTCGAGTCAGATGTGTGGGCGTTCGCCGTGTGTCTCTGGGAGATCTTCAGCTTCGCGTTGCAGCCGTACTACGGGATGACGCATGAAGAGGTAGTCAAGTACATCAAAGAGGGCGAAGTGCTACGCTGCCCAGACAATACGCCACAGTCGATCTATGATCTGATGAAGCTGTGTTGGAATAGGCGGCCATCAGACCGGCCTACCTTCCGAACGATTTATCAGACTCTCGACGGAATCAAGCAGGATCTGGAGGCAGAATGTAAGTCAGACAGCGTTCCACTACGTATCCGCGTATGAACGTAATAATAATGGTAATAATCGGTATTTCTCTTTCTTATAAAAGCGCATAGCGTGAAATTTGTGCAAGTTAAAAAGAGAATGGAGATTTATTTTTTTTTTCATTCCCTCTTATGAAAACAAATTTATATTTTTTACCTTACTGATGAGTCCAGTAGTGGAAGCCGGGACGAAACGCCAACTTGTGATATTCTTCCCAATATATTAAATTAATTTTTAAGAATTCGGTTGCGGCTGTTAAGGACTTTGTGAAGTCGAAACTTTCTGTATATACCGATATTATTATTATAATAAATTTATATATATATTTCTAACAACTAGTATAGCTCAAATTTGTTCTTGACCGGGAAGGTATATAAAGTTTAATTTGAAAAAATTTATATTTCTATCTTTGACTTAAATCTTTACAAAAAATTAATCTTTTTTCATTGTAAGCATTTATATAGATAGTCATAAAATTGTTGGGCGGAATTAAATTACGTTTATATTTATTTTTAACGAAACAAAATACTTTTGTTCTCTTAGATCAGACAAATTTCACTCTGTGCGATGATCAAGAGTAAGACACGTCACTTTATGTGTACTTACTACTTATTCTTCGATTTCCAGCTAAATAACTTTATATTATGTATCATGAGCGTGATGTGGATTGCCTGCCTTCTTAGTTGGATCCGCCTCGAAACTGAATAAGTCACGAGAAGTGAGAAAAGGACCAATGTATAAAACGGGGGCGCGATATTACATAATGTATGTTAACTTCTTCTTCTATTTCTTTAGAAATGGACATGTCTCTATCGGGATATAATACTGCAAATTTACTTTCCTGAATCTTTTCTACCGCATTAGCTCGAGGAGATTGTGTGTCACGATTATTTTTATTTACTGTTCAATTAGCTTCAGATTATCTTCAATTAGGACTGCTACTTTTCCAGTTTTCCGGTATTACTGTTCTCCTTTTTTATTTATAATTTCAGAAACTTAGTATGTAATTAAACAAATATAAGAATCTTTTTACTACCGTACAATTGATAAACAATAATAAGAAGAAAGGAAGCAACAAAGCAAAGCCATTAACGGTCAAAGCTAGATCACAATGCTTATTATAATGTGTGAATTTATATACCGCGTATGTAGTTCACTCAATCGCGTGCCGAAAATTTTTTCAGACTTACAACGTAACCCTAAACGACTACCGCGGTAATATCACTTTTAGTTAAATTGACAAGCAATCTAACAATTTTAGATGCTTATAGCATCTTATTGGATCTTAATAATATATTGAAAGACATATATTTGTAAGAATGTGACTTGGAAATTGATAGAGTCGGACAATTTCAATGATTAAATATGAGCTTAATTGATTTAAAAGTAATCTAGTCAAATTTATTACAAAATTATTAATACATCTCGCGAAGTAGAAGTCTCGATACATATATAACTTAAACGCGCTTTACTCATTGTCTGTCTTTTCTCGTCATTAACAGAGCCGCGTTAACAAAATTTGCGCCTTGTTTGCCAAAAATAATTGCGATTATTGGATATACATATATGACCGTAAATTTCTCTTACCTTTATTTCTTTCTCCAACATATATTTCACTTTTGCTTTTGCGTCATCATGCAATTTAAATATAGAACCAAACATATTTTCATACTTGATGCACGATCGCAATGCAAGGCTTAAATAAAAATAATTGCGATTATTGGATATACATATATGACGAGTAAATTTCTTTTACCTTTATTCTTTTCTCCAACATATATTTCACTTTTGCTTTTGCGTCATGTTCATATATCCATAGTTACATTTATTGTCGTACTTGGTGCTCGATCGCAATGCAAGGCTTAAATAAAAATAATTGCGATTATTGGATATACATATATGACCGTAAATTTTCTTACCTTTATTTCTTTCTCCAACATATATTTCACTTTTATTTTTGCGTCATTTTCAAATTTATATATATATCCATAGTTACATTTATTCGAGTCAAACACTGGTTGTTGGTTGTGTGATAAAAATATCCTTTATTGTGACTGTATACGTTTCGATCCTAATTCGGATCCTTATCAATATGTAACATCTACCTTATATATCAAAGTGCTACCTAGAACACTGTATAATATAATTAAAATTTAATTGTGAATATATAAAAAAATCGAAATATAGAAAACAAAGAATTGAAATAATAAACCGAATACCTCAAAGTGTTATAATAAATTGTGATTTAAGTCGAAATAGTAAAATGATAATATATGAAATATAAATTACAAAAAGTATAATAATAATTAAACAATACAAAGTCCATATATTGTATTAATATGAATTCATAAATAATATATAAGATATGAATTCATAAATCAATAATTATAAGTATAAGATATATTAACTTACATGATATGTTAGATGTACAAACAACGAAGTGATATTACTACGGTAGTTGTTTAGAGTTGCGTTGTAAGTCTGAAGAATTTTCGACACGCGATAAAGGAGACTACAAATTTACGGTCATATATGTATATCCAATAATCGCAATTATTTTTGGCAAACAAGGCGCAAATTTTGTTAACGCGGCTCTGTTAATGACGAGAAAAGACAGACAATGAGTAAAGCGCGTTTAAGTTATATATGTATCGAGACTTCTACTTCGCGAGATGTATTAATAATTTTGTAATAAATTTGACTAGATTACTTTTAAATCAATTAAGCTCATATTTAATCATTGAAATTGTCCGACTCTATCAATTTCCAAGTCACATTCCTACAAATATATGTCTTTCAACATATTAAGATCCAATAAGATGCTATAAGCATCTAAAATTGTTAGATTCATTGTCAATTTAACTAAAAGTGATATTACCGCGGTAGTCGTTTAGGGTTGCGTTGTAAGTCTGAACAAATTTTCGGCACGCGATTGAGTGAACTACATACGCGGTATATAAATTCATACATTATAATAAGCATTGTGATCTAGCTTTGACCGTTAATGGCTTTGCTTCGTTGCTTCCTTTCTTCTTATTAGTATGTAATATTTATTATAAAAATTTTTTAATTTCGGCGAGGTTAGCAGCCTACCGAAGAAGTTTAAGTCAAATGCTCAAAGTACCAAGATAAAGCCTCGGAATCTCAAGAGACTTCTTAATCTTGGAAAAACAGGCTCAAAGCCTATTTCATGAGGAAGAAGAAGAGTTTTTAAAAGCATTTGTGGATCGTATTATATTTAAACACTAATTATTAGACGTGATCTGTTTTATGAATAGTTTTCTTGTCATTTTTTAACATTGGCCTATAATTTTAAAATAACGCAGGAACGTAGCGGTCCTAATTATCGTGTCTGAATTCAGGCAACACTTTTTTACGAGTGAAAGCACTGTCGAGTCTGTACAAATAGTATAAAAGCGGTGTGTTTATAAAAGCGAACGTTATATTTAGAGGCTCCTTGATTGTTAGACGTGTGTTAGGTTGTTAGATCGTTTGCTGTACCAAAAAGAGGAGAAAAAGGCATAAATAATACCTAGGGTAAACCCGGTATATACGCCGCGTCAGGAAATACGCCGCAGAAGTCAGAAAAAATAGAAGGAGTGGGGATAATTTTCCGTCAATTACTTTGTTACATGCCTTTATGGTATATTAGTATTATGTTATGATTTCAGTTCTTTACTGTTAATATTAATGAAATTATTGCGAGTTAAATCGATTTTTTACTGTAATAAGTAGTGCCATCATAATTTATAATCTACATAAAATGATTATTATAGAGCGTGTAAAAGACTTAGTGGTTATTTTGCAATACATATGTGTAGAGGAATAGTAAAGCATGTTGTATAGCAAAATACAAGTGCTTTGCTCTTGTATTGTTTGTTTAATTAGTTGTCATATATATCCCATCTATTTGGGATATACGGCATTTTTAGCGAGCGGGATGCTGTGCCGCAGCACAGACGCTCTATTTAAGAAGTTTTTGTTAATTCTAACAATTATATTTTGCATTAATGCGTAAATGTTGATAAATTTTAAATGTTTAAAGATTATTTTCAAAGATTT